ACGCTGGACTGGTGCGACATACCTGTTCCCGATCATCACGGCGAAGGACAAGATGCAAGTGGGCCAGGCCGCCGAGCCGGAGAAGTCGGAGACTATCGAGGGGGCCGACGACAGTGACCCAAGAGGCGACGGATCGAGAGACATTCCAGCCCTCGATGGAGGACACCAAGAGAGACAAGGTAAATCTGACGCGACAGCCAACTGCCGAACAAGAAGATATCAAAAGACGGACTTCCGTAAAGAGGAAGGTCAAGACCGACTTGCTCGAGAAAACGAAGAGGGGGGTCAGACGGCGGACCAGCAACGGGCCAGTGCCCAAGAATTACAGTGCTTTCTTCCACGACCAGACGGCCGAATGTGGCCAGCTGGACTGGGGGAAAGTAGACTGGAACGACTTCGTCCTGGCAGCCTGGGTTCCATCCGAGATAGAGGACGAGCTTCAGATCTCGACAGGCACGGAATACATCGAGGTGGCGTTCGAAGCGTTCGACGAGAACAGCATCAACAAGTTCGCCAGACAGCCTGCGAAGCACGTTACCAAGGCACTGAAGAAAGGGAGGTCCGAAGCGAGTGTCAAGAAGTATTGCGGAAGGGGCAAGAGAGTTTGATGAAGGGGGCGAAGTTGGTAGAGGTCAGAGACTGGATGGCCAACGAAGTGCTCGAGAAGCTACCGCCACGCATCAGGCCGACTCAGTCGCACGTGCTGAAGACGAGATGGGTGCGCGCTGGGATACCGAGACCCGAGACTAGGAGAGGAACCGGTCGCATCGCCCACCATGGCGAGGAGAGCGCGCGCCATGATATTCCAGCTGACGGCCATGAAGAAATCGAAGCTGAAGAAGGGCGACGCGAAGGCAGCGTTCCTAGTAGGGAAAAGGATGCCAGACGACAAGCCAACCTACATCGAGGCCAACGACGAGCTGGCGGAGGAGCTAGGAGTACCGAAATGGACGGCTGTGAAACTGAAGAAGGCCGTGTATGGACTGTGTCAAGCGCCAAAGTCATAGTACGAAAGCGTGGACACCCCTATGGAACAGCTCGGTGGACAACGATGTGTTTCAGATCCGTGCGTGTGGGTCTTCAGCGACAAGGACGGCAACGTGCGCGGAGTGGTCGGAACCCACGTGGACGACTTCTTGATCTCTGGAGATGGTGGAGTCCGGTGGAGAGACATCGAGATGAAGTTGCGCAAGGCATTCAGGTGGACACCTTGGGAAGAAGGAAGATTTGAGCAGACCAGACTGGCAGTTTGCCGGGAGGCCAACGGCGAAATCACCATGCACCAGAAGGAGTTCATCGAGAACACCACTTAGATCAATATCAGCCAGGAGCGTCGCAAACAACGCGATCTGAAGCTGACAGACCAGGGGGCGACGCTGATGCGGGGCGCACTCGGCGAGATACAATGGGTAGATGCACAGACGATGCCGAAGTACCAGGCGCAGTGGTCTATCTTCCAGAGCAGTGGACCAACGGCGACGGTGGAGACTCTCTTCGGGATCAACAAGTTGATCAGGCAGATGAAGAACGACCCAAGCTACAAGCTGAAGTTCGAGCCGTTCGAGAGCGAGGCCGCGGTCGCAGGCTGGAGTGATGCTGCATGGGCGAACCGACCGGGCGGACCGTCTACTGGAGGCTACGTAATCGGGGTCGCACCTGAAGAGATCCTGAGTGGGAAACGATCACCAGTGGGCTGGGTTTCGCATCGCAGTGGGATTCTACCGCGCGTGGCGAGAAGCTCGTTGGCGGCGGAAGTTCAAGCTCTCGCAGTGGCGGAGGACGAACTGTTCATGGTCCGAATGATGTTGGCAGAGCTGAACGGGTTCGCATCAGACGTTGTGTCGGGAACCGCGAGTGTGATGAAGGTAGCCGAGCCGATGATCGAAGGTGTCAAGCAGATCAGGTCGTGCCTGTGCGTAGACGCGAAGAGCATCTGCGACTGCCTTGGGAAACAGGTGCAGATGCAGAGTCTGGCTGAGAAGCGGACCGCGCTGGGGCTGATGGCATTCGAGAAGTGTCTCAACGAGGCGAAGTTGATCGCACGATGGTGCCATTCCGAGGCGAACCTGGCGGACAGCCTGACAAAGACGACAGCAGTGGGCCCCATTGAGCTATACATGGAGACGTAGAGCTGGGCCCTAGTCGAGGACGACGAACAGCTCGGCGCAAAGAAGAGGAAAGAAAGGGGACTCAGCAGATTCGAGAACAATGCGGACGTGGCCGGATTAATCAATATGGCATTCCTGAAGGCAGGGATCACACTACCAGATGCCGCAGATGGTAGTGACGAGAGTGATGTGAGTGATGACAAGGTCCGAGACGAGCCCCTTCGATGGGTTTGGTTTGAGACGACGGTTCCCGTGTTTATGTACATGTACCGGGAGTCGGTATTTCCTTTTCGGCGAACCCGTTCACGATTTTATTTAGAAGGCTGACGCCTATTGCAGTTGTTTGTGTTGCTAATGTATATGACGCACCATGTTGGTAGCGACTATGAGAATAAGGCCCGGAGCCGAGAAGGGATTAGTTGCAACAAAGACTTCTGGGGATGTGAATCCAACTGTGTTTCCCTTGTGGTGTTTCAGTTGAAGCGCGTTTCACCTGGCAACTATCCGTAATCGTTGTGGCTCAGGGGCCCCTTGAACCGCCTTTTGGGTGGTGGGATATTTTACTTGCTGGTTCCAGAGAGCTAGCCAGGACACCAAGACCGAATATCATAATATTCGACACGAAGATATCCCTGGGACCAATCGTTGGGGTTTGCTCTCTGGACGGAGCTGTGAGAGAGTTTGCTGGCGAGTGGCAGAGACAGCGTGCTGGGCCTTGTACTCGTTGTTGTGACAGGAAACGGACAGAGATGTCCACGGACCATCATTTCTGAGGACGAGAGAGAGAGGTGTGTTATTTCAAGCACACGGATTTCACGACGCCTATCGGCGAATTTGCACGGGGGAGTGGGGGGGGAGGAGGAGGAGGAGGAGGAGGAGGAGGAGGAGCATGAGCATGAGCATGATATCAAGACGAAGTCTTAAACTAAAAGCCACCCCCTGACCGCCTCCAGGTAGACGAGGGCATGGTACACGTACGCGGCGAAAAACATACCAATTGATTCAAGGTTCGGCTGAGGTGAAATCGGCTCGATGCGGCCCATACAATGATGTGTACAACACGAGCCCAAGTCTCGATACACAGCACTGGTCATCGGGCAACCCCTCAAAGGGATCGCCTCCTCCACAAACAGCCCCGCCATGCCAATCCAGAATGCCGTACCCACGTACGAAACAAACTATTGAATTACACTGACGTGGAAGACTGCACGCCGAAATTAGTGTATGATGCCGACACTACAAACCACGAGCTTCACCATTATTGAATGCAGAAGGACAGCGCCACCAAACAACGGTAATTGGAACAACCCTTGCACCCTCAAGTTCCTCGACACGCAGAATACAGACAAGCCGGCACCCATACACCAGCGATGCAGCACCATGGCAGCACGAGCACATTGACAAGGAAGCCTGTACGCCGAACTGTGTGTAGCTATGAAGCCAAACCGACTGAATACAAACATTGCCGCGATCTTCACCATTATTGCATGCAATGAAGCTGGTACCAAACATAAAGAGCGATGATGCCCATACCCCCTGCATCCTCAGGTCCCTCGAAGCGCGGCCCGACAGCTTGAAATAGTACGCTCGGGTGCGGGCGGGTGGGTAAATGCACAACCAGGCTCGCCCCATGGGCCCCGCACCCGAGACGGACAACGAGGAATGTGCACAGGAAAGCGGAGAAAAACTCCAAACCACCCAGTCCACGCCAGGCGATTCGCTTGAGAACCACTCACAAATGCAGTAGTACGGCACCTTGGCAGAACAAAATACAAAATTGAATGACGCCTGACTGCAAGACTTCGCCCCGCCCTTAGCCGATCCGCGCCTCAAGAAAGAAGACAAGAGGTGCGGATAGCCACAAGCACGCCGCGATGAGGCGGCGGGGCAGGGCCCATGACGCGCTCGAGCCAAAAGGATCTACGCGCCTTGGGCCCCATGTGCTTGAGGAGGAGGAGGAGGAGGAGGAGGAGGAGGAGGAGGAGCAGGAGCAGGAGCAGGAGGAGGAGGAGGAGGAGGAGGAATAGAGGAATGGAGGGATGGAGGAACAGAGGAATGGAGAAATGGAGGAATGGAGGAACGGAGGAGGAGAGGGAGGGAGGAGGAGGAGGAGGAGGAGGAGGAGGAGGAGGAGGAGGAGGAGGAGGAGGAGCAGGAGCAGGAGGAGGAGGAGGAGAGGAGGAGAGGAGGAGGAGAAGGAGGAGGATGAGGAGGAGGATGAGGAGGAGGAGGAGGAAGAGGAGGAGGAGGAGAAGCGTTCGCCTCTCCTGCCTGCGCCCCCTCTGCCGCTCACCCTCGTCCTCTGCCCCCCCTCCCGCAGCTCGGGTTGCCGCCGCCGCCTCCGCCCCACGGCTGGACCTAAACGGTGTTTTTGGCGATTTCGTGGGCCGTTTTCGTTTCGACTTCGTTTTGCGGTAAAGGCGGATTCGAAACAAAAGCCAGGGAGAACGAAAACAACACGAAGACGACAAACACCGTTTAGGTTCAGCCCGGTTGGGGGTGGCGGGTGGTTCTCGGATGCAGCTCTTGGCTGATTTTGCCCTGGTCCGAAATCCTGCTCAATCCGGTTCAATCCCGCTTGATCCCGCTTAATCCGGCTTAATCCGAGGCCCATTCAGGCGTAACAGCCCCCCAAGGGGGCGCAGTCATCTTTAATCTTTCCGACGGAGGGGCTTCCCAGTAGTTGCCTCCTAAGGTGGTTGGACGGGGCAAGAGCACACTCAGCCTTCAGCCTTTGGCGCCCAGGCTGATTCGGCCTTCTGGGGCGCGGTTGATCGCTTTCCCGATGCCAGCGGCTCAGGCCGCCCCTGCCTCTGCTATGGCCCCCACGCTTGCGGTTGGTCTCTGTCAGGTCTTTCTCCCTCTCGCATTCCTTCCCCCCTCCCGTCCTAGATCAACATGCTGTACAAGCAGTTTGACCTGGAGATCGTGTACGAGATGGGCGGCGGAAACATGTTCGAGGTGGAGGATGAGGAGGAGAGGGATGACCAGGAGGAGGACACGAGAGGGAGGTGGGGGGAGATGGGGAGTCGGAGGGGGGAGGAGGAGGAAGAAGAGGTGGAGGAGGAGGACAGGCAGAATGAGGAGGATGATTTTTGCAACATCAACGCCAGAGAAGCACAGGGTCAGCGGGGGGCCAGGCCTGGACCTGACCAGACCTGGACCACCCGGCCGCGCTGCCGAAGAAGACGCGGAAGGCGTAGTCGACGCACCACGCCGGCGAGCCGAGGAGGGCAAGCTCCACGACCGCGAGCACGAGGAACCACACCAGGGCCTCCTCGAGCATCAGGAAGAGGGCGGCATGCCGAGGGCCCGCTTGACCCGCACCCGCACGTCCTCCTTCGCAGGTCCCCTGGACTCCCACGGCTCGAACTGCCGCACCTCGATGCCCGTCGCCGCCGCCGCACCAGCAACAGCAGCCCCAGGCCCGCTCGGCGCAGCAGGCTCCGTCGAAGCCACGGCCTGCCCCACCTCCCAGCCGCGGCGCCGCCCGCTCAGCCCTGGAGCGCCGCCAGCGGCGGCGACGGCAGGACCCCCGCGTAGCAGTCCATCAGCCCAGGAGTCGTCGTCCAGCTCGGCGTCGATGTCGGGCGCGTCGGCAGCAGCCCCAGCCACCTGCACGAGCGCGAGGCCCGCGCTGGCCGCCCCAGCAGCCGCCCCAGCGCCCTCCTTCTTCGCCTCGTTAGTCTCGGTGTCCAGCCTGGCAGCCGCGCGCCTCGCCGCTCGGCGCTGGCGGCGGCGGCGCCGCCGCGCAGCACGCGCAGCACGCGCAGCAGGGTCAGCTTCAGGACGAACACCTTGATCCAGGTCGGTGCCAGCGTCATCGGCGGGCGGTGGCGATCCCGAGACGGCGAACGCCGCCGCCGAGACCGCCGAGCGAGCCACCGCCGCCACCGTGCGCCGCGGCGCCCCGAGCGCCCCGCGCACGGCCGCCTCGACGAGGCGGGCAGCCGCCGCGGGATCCAGGGCCCCTCTAGCCCGACGCGCGGCCATCGCGGGGACGGCGGGGCGCGCACCAGGCATGCGAACGCTTGAGCCAAAATGGCTACGGACGAATGAGGAGGATGAGCAAAGGGGGGAGGAGGAGGAGGAGGAGGAGGAGGAGGAGGAGGAGGACGAGGAGGAGGACGAGGAGGAGGACGAGGTGCAGGAACAGGAGGAGGAGGAGGAGGAGGAGGAGGAGGAGGGTGCTCGACTGGGGGTCGAACCATGTTCCAGGTGGAGACCCTGCAGCGGATCGCCAAGTTCGAGCAGGACCTCAGATCCTTGCCGCTCTGGTCGGGCCTCTGCGCGGAGAGCTACGTGCTGGAGCTGCCGTACTGCGAGCTCGGCGTCTCCTTCGCGAATTACGCTCTGCCGTCCCTGGCCGGCGCGAGCAGCACGGACATCGTCCCCTCCGACTTGTCCTTCGACGGCAAGGGGGAGGACCTCGGAGGAGGGAGTACACACTTCTCCTAGGCGGGCTGCTGGGCGAACACCCGCGCCCGCGGCGCCAAGGACGGGGTCTTTTCCGATACTTACTGGTGTTCGTCCTGGAGAGCCACCGTCGCCATGGCTCGATGATCCTCGAAGTTCTGGCCAGCACCCCGATAGCTCTGGGGAGCTGCGGTGCTCGCTACCATTCTCAAGCAGTGGCGAAGCGTCCTGGCTCGCCTATAGGCCTACCAAACAGTGTTCCAAGAACCTTTTGTGGTGTCCACGAAGCGTTCTTGGAACATTTCTGGCTGGGACTGTCTTGTTTTGACACGTCGGACTTCTGGTCTAAGAGCAATGCTTTTGTTCTTAGAACATGCTTGGGTTTCTAAGAATATTCCGTGGTAGGCCCATAGGAATGCCGGGACGGTCGGTCCCTGCTCACCATTCGGTTCCCCCAGGATCTCATACCGGTTGCCACCGTCTTCCAGATGCTGAAGGAGCACGACGTCACGAACGTCGTGCTCCCGAGCTCGTACAGCACCACCATGCTAGACTCTGGGAGCTGCTTCGCCGCCTGCTCTTCCTTCCCCTCCTTCCCCTCCTCCCCCTCCTCCTCCTCCTCCTCCTCCTCTTCCCGCAGCTGCCATGCAGGCCCACAGCAGGCATGAGGCAGCTACAGCACCCACTCTCCCCACACATTCTGTTTGAGGGAAATGATGGCGCTTCTTGGGCCGAGGGCGGCCTAGGGGCACGAAGCAGATACAGAGAGGGGGAGGCGCACGTCCAGGTGACGTCGAGATGGTGCTAAACATCATCTACTACAATGCGCAGAGCGCGGACTACACGAGATTAGAGGAGATCTGCATACAATGCAAGAGCGTTGACATCATCATCGTCACGAGCACGCAGCGGCACACAGATGTGGAAAATGACATGCAGCAAGCCACGCTGCCGAACCACAGGGTGTTGCAGTTTGGATGGAAGTTGGCAAAGTATGGAAACAAAAGCTGTGGAACTGCAGTCTTGCTAGGCCAGTATGTACACGGAGTGCAACAAGCACTCTCCTCGCCGAGGTCACAAGGTATCACGGGGAGGGTCGCCAAAGTGAAGCTGTTTGTTCATGGGCAGTCAGTATGTGCATTTCCAGTGTACTTCCCGCCAAAGGGTACAAGTCCCCCATTGCTGAAGGAGGCCAGCACACGCATTTTGCGACGGATCAGCAAGCAGATCGAGAAGAAAGGACACAGCACCATGCCGATAGTTGCAGGAGATTTCAATTGCGGTTTTGGAATTCGCAGGGATATCACAGGAGTGACGTACACCAGAGAGGACGAGCACATCGGCATCACAGAGCCGACGCACGAGACAGTCGTTTCGAGCCAAGTGCGAACGTTCGCAGAAGAACAGCATATGAGTGTGGCATCTACCTTTTGGAGGACAGGGCCTACGTATTTTCAGAGAGGATCAACTTCTAAGATTGACCATATCATGTGCCCGACCACTGTGGTTGGCAGCATACAGAAGCTAAACACATGGATCAGACTGGGAAGAAAGCTCCAGCTGCAGCAGGGTGCAATGTTGGAGGATCGCGTTCCTGTGCATGTCGAAGTTAACGTTGACACGAAGATCTATCGAGTAGTAAACCCGTCGCCTCCAGCCAACTGAGACATGATGATGGGCGCGCATACCACAGGCATATTGCGACGAGAGGGGTTCTTTGAGGAGGTGCAAAAGAAGTTGCGGCAGGATGGCGAGGCATACACGAGGGCGATGGCAAGTAAGAATGTGCAGGCGGTTTGGGGAAACATTGGGACGGTTATTCGGAGTGTCATGGCTGAAGGATTCCCCCCTGGGCCCAGAAGGAGGCAGCGGGGGAAGCGCATGGAGTTGATCCGACGCCGAGCTGAGCTTCGGGAAAGAGCAGAGGGCGCACACGGAGACGAGTACAGAGAAGTGAACCAACAGCTGACGGATATCACACGGAAGCTTCAAAACCTTCGAAGGCAGCAAACTGCATACAAACGACAGAAGTTAATGTACGAATTGGTGGCAGTTTGGAAGCAGAAGAAATGGGCTCAGTTGCATAGGATAAAAAAGCAGTCTCACGTCGACGGGAAGAAGGCCAAATAAAAAGTATAGCTCTGCAGTGCGTCAAAATATGCCCATACAAGAGTAGAACGCAGGCCTTGAACTATCACCTCCCGAGGGGGGGATGAGCGCAGGTGTGTACTTGGGACGCGGCACTTGAAGGCATTGCTCTTCTACCGAAAGTGTTGGAACGAGATCGAGCGATGCAATTAGCTCGATCAGATTTGGACGGACAGATCAGATACCTCAAGAAAGCGCCTAAGCGTCGTGCCACGCCCCAGTGGGGGGTATATGCGGAGGCGCTACTGCAGTCATTACCGCCGCAGTGCCGCGCTAAGCAGGACCCGAACGGGGGCGACGGGGAGAAGGACATCGCCCCCCAGGGAGTTGTTGCACAAGAACCAGCAGTTTGCGACACTCGCGCGGGAAACCAACAAAGTGCCGCCGGGTTTCTTGAGCTCGCAGATGTTCACTCAAGCTAAAGATAACGGAGAGCCAGGCATCAAGGGGACAATATTGCTCCACTGTTTCGATGCATGCGGTAAGAGCTGGTTTGGCCAACTGGCAAAACGTATCAAGCCCCAGCCCAAGTTCACTTCGCTCGCGCACGGAGGTATACCAGCACGTCGTAGAGAGGGAACGCTACTAGTATTAAGCAGTGCAGCGTGGAGATGCACAGACCCCAAGCTGAGCCACACGCTGAGCAACTTCGACGGTTCGAACGCGTTCGCGAGCACAGATAGGGAGCTTCTTAGAGCATCGCACAGCAAGCAGCAATGCGAGCATCACGTGGAGTTGTCGACGCAGGCCATCGACCACTTAGTAGTACACGCAGAAGGTATCGATGGTAGCCTCGTGTTAAAGCCGACCCGAGGAACCGCAATGGGGCACGCCATGGCAGCGGGTGATTTTATTTCGGTGTACACACCACATGTCCAGAAGTGGAATGAGCAGCTCTCGGAGTATGACGACACATATACATGGTTGAGATGTGGAAGCGCATTGAAGGTAGTGGGCCAGGGGATGTGATTGCAGGGGAGGAGGACTCAGGCACTGGGTTGTATGTAGACGACATATCACGGATGCATATACCTGCATGAGAAGCGTCACCACGAGCAATGGAGCAACAGCTGAACAAAGCTAGAAGCAAGCTGAGCGCGTGCATCGGGGAGACGGGACACAAACTGAACGAAAACAAAACTAACCACATCACGAACGTTATCGGGGCTGGATCGCTCTCAGCCGTCAAAAGCATTGCAGCTTCAAAAACAGTCGTGGGCGCAGTCGCTCGGGAAGCACGCGTACTTGGTCCCGCGATATCGTTCGACGGCAGTCTTCGAGCCGAACTTCGAGGGCGAATTAAGGCAGCCAGAGCTGGGTGGAGGTCGCTTGGCAAATTGTGGTCCGCGCCGATCCCACTGCGCATGCGGAGGCTACGTTTTGTTCCGCATGTGCAAGGAGCAGGTCATTCAGGTCTCACTGGCTTTGTTCTGGCACGCAGCTTCGCAGACAAGCTCGACGTGGTTTTCATCGGGTTTCTGCGAGCACCCAGCAGAGGCGCGACGGAATAATTCGATGGGAACAAGACAAGCGAGACACACACACACAAAAGGTCCTAGGCCAACACAGGATTTCTCGGGCAGCTGTGGAGTTGCGCATGCAGAGGATTCGGCGGTATCAGAAGATGGCCAGGGACCCCCAGCAGCACTCGCAGGTTCTCGCGGGGATCTTTGGAAGCACCCAGATGGACCTCAAAGTGGAGCGCCCCCGTCTTGGACCCCAAGGGGAGCTAGATGAGCACAGCACCCCGCGGGCCCGACAGTTCAAGGAGGACTTAGAAGTTTTCGCCAAGATCGATCCAGAGTCGCAGTTCGCGCAGGCATGGCAGAGAAGAGAAGTTTTAGTCGATTTTTCACGGAAGAGACCTACCGCAAAGCATTCTTCAAGAAACGACCCCAGCACATCAGACACCTGTTCGACAGGCACTACGAGGTAGAGGAGAAGGGGGAGGCCTTCGGCGGGAACGAGTATGCGGAGGGGGGGGGGGAACACGAACGAGCATGTGTGCACGCACGAAACGCCTGATGGAGAAGTTTGTGGGAGCGTGTTTTCGACACTGAGGGCCTTGACGGCCCGCCTGAACAAGGCCCACAAAATGCGGGAGTTGCATTCCATTGTCACATCGACCAATGTGTGCCCTTGGTGTCGCAGAGCGTTTGCATCGAAAGCCAGCTGTGTACGGCGCGCATGGACAATGTCACGCACGAGCCCCATGCGATGTCCAACCAGAGCCGTTTCTTTCGAGTTTGCGCCGATAGAGGCTTCAGCGTATACGTGTAATTTGTGCACTCACAACACTTCAGAGCTCTCACAACATCTGGGTCACGTCAAGCAGCACGCCGCAGGACCAGCCGAAGATGTCAATGTGGATGATCGGCCTGCCTACCCAGGGGGCAGCAGGCTCCGCGGCAGCCGCGGCAGCGCCAGCGCGAGGAGGGCGCCGCATGAAGCGACCCCGGTGCAGGGGGGGTGGGCCTGGCTCAGACGACGATGCGGATGCGGCACTCTCGGAGCGAATCTTCACCGTGCAGAAGCTGACGCCCAACAACACCCAAGTGCTACGCATCTTGATGGGGGCTCTGTGGGACTGCCTGCTACTGGCGCTGACGCACCAGGTGGTGACAGACGGGCTGAAGACGGGCCAGGAGCACCACCGCCTCGCAACGGCAGAGGGGCGCAAAGATCTCGGTCCGCCGCGCCTGTACATCTTCGGGCGCATTATTCCCACGCTCGTGAAGATGCAGGGTTTGCCAGAAGATACCAAGGCGATCCTCGAGCCGTTCGAAAAGCTGATGACAGTGATGGACCGAGAGGAGGTGAACGAGCTGGTGCGCTACTTCCGCATCAAGAGGACGTACAACGAGGGCAACCAGAAGGCCGACCAGGCCAATATTCACATCCTGTTGAATCCCATCGCGATCAGCCCGTTCATGAGACCTCAGTTGCTGCAGAGATACAAGGAGAAGACGGGAGACCAGGCGGACATGCCTCAAGCAACACTCGCGGAGATCCGACTCCACATCATCAAAGGGCTGGTGGCCACAGGAGGCGTCGTGAAATTGGGGAGTCCACCGCCAGGAGCTCTGGAGAGAGCCGCTCAAGCGTCGGTGCAGGAGCAATCGATGTAGCTGGACTTCAGAGAATGGCTCGCGCGGGCAACGAGAGAGCAAAGTCAATATTGAGAGACTTGAAGAGACAGCGTCTGGAGTGAGAGGTGCACTGTATACCACGCCATGCAGTTCTCATTCAGTACTTAATGATGGAACATATAAGTTTCTCTGCGTGGCTTGGATTTGTCTGGCAGTCGGTACTGAGAAGAGCTACGCCGACAGCTGGACCTTCTACTGAGCTTGATGCAGTGTCAAATTGCTGAGAGAATGATCGCGCTTTATTTTCCAAGCCTTGCGGCAG